ATGTGGGAAGGACTACTGGCTGTTGCTGCAGCCAACGGAGGTGACTTTGGCCCATCACGATGGGATCCAGACAGAGGATATTTGGTCACATTCTTTCAGGGAATGTTTCAAAGATATTTCTCCCAAATGTAGCCACTTTTTCTCAACCTTGTTGCTGCCAAGTATTTTTCTCACTCACAATTTCAGAACAATGTCAAGGTCTAGGTATTGCCTTTGTCTCCAGGGTCCAGAATATACCTGGCTGCGTGATTTTAATATTATAATGAAAATACTGAACAGAATATACTCATTAACAAGATTTCTGATACTGTGAAACATTCTGGCTTTGATTAGGTGGTATTCTGTAGTGATTCTGGTGAGAAGATTATGCAGAGTGTTTCAAATAGTTTACGTGGACCTCATAGCTTTTCTCCTCCGGTAGCTGAAATATTAACTATAATTTCCAAGAATAGTGTGGGATAGATTGTGTATACTTTGATATATGAGTTGCAGTTTGGAACACTCAATCACTTTCCCTATGGTTGAATCTTATCATACGACTGAGATAACGTGGCCTGCTCCATCCGGGGTTTCGCCCAGCCCTGCCATGGACAATACCCCATGGGCCAGACAGTGAGGACCGAAACTCTGTTCCGAGCTCAAGCATTTACTCTTATTGGGAAAGCAGAACTGCCAAATGATTATGTACATGAATAAGTATAAATCGCAATCATTGTCCACTGCTGCATAAAAGAATTCCTCCAAGGAATTAATGAAAGGGTTTCATTTAACCTAAAATCTCAAATATAAAAAGAAATATATAAGGCTATGAGTGAAAAAGTATACACTCTAGGAAGGGCGGATGGTTAATACTGATGTCCTTTGGAGTTCAGAGTGACAAACTGCTAAGCTGAGACCTGAAATCACACAAGACCTGTTAAGGATTTAGATCTTTCATTGCAAGAGCAAGTTTATTACCTGCTTTAAAGAAAGTGAGCCATGTTATTTGTGTCTTATTAGAAAAATCATAAATTTCCTCACTTATGTCCTGAACTATATCTAATTAACGATGAGAGCTAGGCTACTCTGATGTATTGTCCAATAAATGAATGTATGGCAATTTTAAATTCCATTTTTTATCTTCTGAGTTTTGTTTTAAACTTTGCTGCCCAATCAATAAAGCCATTTTATGAGATTAGTTAAAGAATTTTCTTAAAGCTCCAAGTGCCCGGTGTAAAAGCTAATCAATACCTCTCCCCACACACAAAAATATAAACTTCACTTGCACTAAAAAACAATTGTTTATCCTCTCCTTAACATTTAAAAATGAACATACATAAGGAGAAGTTTTGTTATAAAATAATTTATTGTCCTTAAAAATAGATTTTAAGATGTGGAGACAGCTCAGTGGCATTTATGCCTGCCTGGGAACTGCAAGGTCCTGAGTTCGATCCTCAGTTCCAAAAATAAATAAAATAAAATAAATAAGCATTCAGTGGTTTCATAATATTTATTTGGGCAGAACCGGGGATTGAACTCAGGCCCTTGCACTTGCCAGGCAAGCACTTATTCTACTGAGCCATCTCCCTGGTCCCTCATATGTTAAAGGTGAACAAAACCAATAGAATTTTGATTGCCTTTCTAACTATCTTATGCTCATTTTTCACCACAATATATGCCCTTAATATAGTTCAGGTTTCAACTGTTTTTAGCCTTCTAACTACTGTGATAAAACAAGTCTTTATGAGGTAAAGCTAATAATTTGTTATTTCTTAACTCATTCTTGTCTATTAACAAAGCACTACTGCAATATTCCTTGCACTGTATTTTGTTCTTATATCGTTTATAGTATGTGCTTTTACAAAAACAGGAATCTAATACTGAGCAGGAAAATGCAGATGAGGCTGTTTCCACCATTCCTTTGCATATCTTAATTTTGTTTATCTGTTTGTGCTGCTAAAGAGCTTGCCACTCACTCAGCATTCAGAAGGTCTCTGCCATTGGTTAGAGTCTAGAATAACTTGCCAGAGAATTAATACATAATAATCTGGTGTTTAGAATCCAACTAAGAATTCTGGGTGGGCCAAATAGCTCAGTGAGTTAAAGCACTTCCATTCCTGGGCCTGCTCTGCCGGACCCGACCCCCAGGGTATGCTGAGATGGCAACTGAGACTGGGCGTGGAGGCATGGGTCTGTAATCCCAGCTCTTGGGAGGCTGCAAACAGGTGGATCTCTACAAGTCTGATCTAGTAGTGAGACCCTGAACACCCTGTAGACCCTTCATTAAAATACAAATAAATAAATAAATAAATAAATAAATAAATAAATAAAACAAGAATTCCTACCATGCATAGCATTCCTACAATAGTCTTTGCAGAGCATATCGATTCAAAAACATTATGTATGTCTAGATTGTGCAAATAAACTTAATTTTAAAAGACTTAGAAAAATAAAAATATTGTTAAAATTTTTTGAGAAATAAAAGCTTTCAAAATCAATTTTGATTTACTATTGAATATCACAGGAAAATTCTACATGGGTAGACAGGTTTAGTGGGACCATTACCTTCTTAGTGAAGGAATAATGTAAGTTTATTTAAATTTCACGGGTGTCTAGTTAACATGCATTCAACAGCTATACAGTTTCTGGGATGGAAGCTACTTTTTTGCAATTAAAAATACCAATGTTATTTTCTTTTTCTAGGGAGGAGCAGAGCATAACATTCCAGTTGTCATTTCAAAAATCTCCAAAGAACAGAGAGGTAAGGTGTTAGGTGGTAATACATTAGCCATTGCTTTGT